GTTTTGTGTGGGGGGGGGGGGGAGGAGTGGAAGACTAGCCTTTCTTTGTTAATCTTGCAAGAAAAATCTATAGCCAACAAATGTAAATATGTAAATACAAAATATGCGTTCGGTTCCTATTTTGAACAACGTTCATTTTAAAATAAGCAATGTTATTTTAAATAAAAAGTATACATTTTATTATTTTTTATTCTTTAATTTGACCCATTAAAAATTATGCTAAAATGATATTTCTGACATAAAGCATTGCAAAATTATTTGTAAATGAAAAAGGGCACTTTTTAAAAATATTTTTCGCATTTTTTAATGCAACACTAAAAAAATAACTGAGATAAATGAAAAGAAATGGGTAATAATGAAAAAAAAATCTGCAGAAAAATTATAACTAATGGGAGAAACTGAGGAAGGAGTTAAGTAAGGCTGTTTAGTGTTAATTTTGAGTTAATAAGTGATTACGGTAAATAGGAATATATTTTATAAAAAATGTGTTATTACTTGTAAGATTTATTTAATTGATTTAATATGCAGATCAAAGGCCACACCTTTAATCTACATATTAATAAAATAGTAAATGCAATGTAAGAATAAATTGTTACACTTGTTAGACTATCTGCAAGTGTCATTTTGGACAGGAATATAGAAAGCGACTCCTGATATGTAATACATAGCAATTCGTGGCTATTTACTTATTATAGCGATCGGGGAAGCAATGGCCGGGGAAGAGAAGATACCCACTATAAGTCATGTTGAAGTTTTTTTAGAGTGTATCTTCTACACCTTCAGTCCTCAGGTAGTTAAAACATAAAGTAATTTAAATTGTTTATGTATGTTATATTATTTTAGATGTTTACAAAGTATACAAAGAAAAAAAATATTCTAAATATTAAAAAAAACTATTAACATTATTCACATCAAGTGGAAGTTGTACACAAACTTTAAAAAACTATTGTGCTCTTTTATACATGGCCGATATAATACACGTTCTATCAATTATTAATTTAATGCCATTAATTTATTTTACATGCAACTAGTGTATGTACCCAATTTCTTAATATCAGCCTCATGTAACTACAGCAGTACTCAGACTATGAAAGTCATTACATTGATCCAATCATGCTCTGATTCATGCACATGTGCTGAAAGTAGACATGTGCGATTCGTTTCGTTCCGAATCGAAATTCGGACGAATTTTCGTAAATTCGGACATTCGGATGTATCCGAATTCCGAATTACAGACATAACGAATGCAAACGAATCCGAATTTCCATTTCCGAAATTTTGGTAGCGTTCGCACGAACGTTCGTTTCGTTTTCTGTTCTTATTCGTTTCTTATTCGTTTCGTTTGTTGGAGCAAAGTGACATTAGAGAAGGAGAAAAATATTTTTTCCCCCTCAAATGTCACTTTTGCTGCAAACGAACGAAACGAATAAGAAACGAATAAGAACAGAAAACGAAACGAACGTTCGTACTAACGCTACCGAATTTCGTCCGAATCCGAATTCCGAATCCGAATTGACTTTCACACCCGAATCCTGAAAAACGAAATAACACAAATCCGAATTTAAAACGAAACGAAACAAATTTTTTGGCAGTGCACATGTCTAGCTGAAAGTGAACATTCTGCAAGGAAGAGAAAGAGTGTGCTGAGCTTTTGTTTTTTTAAAAGCATGACATGCCCTTCAAAAAGATGTGCTGCAGTAGAGGTTGAGGATGTAGATGTGCTATCTTCCTAGGCTTTCTGAATCCCAACATTGGCTGAACAGAAATACCAATCATTTGGCAGGTACAAACAATTCTCCTATATGTATTTCAACTGTGTATTTATCTGCTAGCCTGAAGTTTAGCATTACAGTATGTCAAACCAAACAGTTTTTTTAGATTTAGGTGGAGTGGGGAATTATTTATTAGCACCCTAGTCTACTCTTTAGTGCTATCCAAGATGACCTGGATTTACCGGTCTCCTGCTCACTCTTCAGTCCACAGTGATTTATGCAAGTGTGTGCTGAGACCAATGGATGAATGGATGCATTGTAGTTTGTTTGGGATTATGCAGTGAGCTGTGTGCATGCAGGATTAAGCTGAAGACTTGAATAATGCTGACTGCACTGACGGGAAGGCAACAGCTGAATGGACACAGGCGAATGGCTGCAGGGATGGCTGGAGCAGAGAGCCACCCTAGGAGGCTTGGCTGAACCCGGGAGGCTTGGAGGAGGAGGCTTAGCTGAACCCGGCTCTATGTTCCAATACAGAGAGGAGAGAAACGGCTGAAAGAGACAGGGAGCAGGCGTCTACAAATTACACAGATGCCGGTTGTTTGAATTTCCCGGCTTATGGAGGGAAGAGAACGGTGACTTCACGGGGCTCCACTCTGAAGCCAGAGGAGACTAGGTAAGTATATTACAATAACAAGCCCCTACTCCATTGCAACCTCTACTTTATATGACTTTCATTGCCCATAATAAAAATGTGTAACACATGAAAATGTATGGAAACCACAAAAAAATACATCTGAACATGCATTTTAAAAAAATGCATAAAAATGCAGATGAAAAAGCGTGAACCTTATGTAAAAGTGTGAAGGATTTTTGAGACTCTTCATCAGACAGAGTCTCTGCAGCAGAAGGCTCAGAGGCCGCTAAAGCCACAGGCAGATCAGATATAGATTCTGCGGGTGATGGCATGGAAGTAGGCTTTTGGCCTCTGCTATGAGAATCAGCCATCAGGGCTGCAATCTGTCCCATACAATCCTGCATAATGATGGGCAAAATTCAAGAACTGAGGGAGCCAGACCCAAAGGAGCTAAGGAAGACTGTGAGGAGTGTAGGGACTTAAACAGAGGGCAATGTCCCAGGCTATCAGTGTGAGGCCCTTTAAAAGCTGCACAGCAAGCAGCAGTAGAGCCATTAGAGGATCAAGAGCTGGAGGTAAATGTTTCAACAGGATTGCTCCCCATGTGTCTGGGATATGACATTTTGTGCTGCCAGGCAGGGACTACGTAGCTCAGAAAATAAGGCTGAACCTTGGCTGCTCATGAACCAGCTGTCACAAGCAGGAGAGGTTCAAATGGCCAGAGGTGAACAGGTCACTATAGGTGCAAAGCAGAGAAAGATAGAACAGGAAAAGTTTGCTGTATCACTTGAAACCAGGAGCGGTAGCCAAAGATGTTACTTCAAGCTGAATTGGCAGGAACCAGTGTGTGGAATGCACATGTGACACTCACCTTAACTAAGCACGTCATTACTCAGTTCTTTAGCATTAACCCTTTCTGTGTAAAAAACTGAGAAAAAAAAAGAATAAAAAAAAGGGGTCTAATTGTCCTAATAGTTAGGAAACTCTGGGTACCTGGTCCACATGGTCTACTCACAAAGTGAGTCATCAGAGACTGGACCACACCAGAGGCTCTCGACCCAAAAAGTGCTCAGGGGCTTACTGACACAGCACACTCAGATCTGCAAAGCACCACAATTTAGAATCCAGTGCCCTAAGACATATTTCAGGATAGCCCTCCAATGGTCCAGTCCACCATGGTCTCGGTATTGCCTCCAAAGCTATTTCTGAGAATACGCTACTAGGGATAGCTATGTGTAGAGACCAGTGCAAGCATCATGTACAGAAATGTTGATTGAAGAAAAAAAGGGGAAAAAAACTAGTAAAAATGGCTAAACTTTTCTTAGAGAAAAGACATCCATCCTCCTAGAACACAGCAAAAAACTGAGGCATGCTGGGAGTGTGAGAGGTTATACCAGCTGTTCGTTGTTTTTTTGTTGGCCAGTGTCGAAATCCTCCTGTAGACGGCAGTATTACGCAGTTCTCTGTGAATCCTGTGTCCCTCAGTGAAGGAGAAATGAAAGCATTGTTTTGTCTGCATTGCAGTTTGAGAGTTCCTTCCTTTCCGTCAGGTAAAATGTTGTCAGCAGAAAAGGAAATTAGGCACAATCTCTCTAACGTAGCCCTGTATAGCAGTAAAACCTTGACAGGAGTAACAATCCTTCCTTACTCTTACGCTTTTGTTTAAAATACTAGTTTGGCATCTGTAATTGTCATTGGTTCTTAAATCAACCTTCTAGTTTCACTCTGGTGTCAATACCTTGTTCTTAACCAAGCATCCCCTAAGTTTTCCCATAGCTTTCTTTCTTTATCCGACACACATGAGCTCAACAACAGCAAAGCCTTTTGTGTTGGAAAAGGAGACAGCACAGAACTAGACATGTCCTTCCTGGGGCAGTTGGACAGGATCTGAAAGAAATTTTGGTAGAGTTACAATTTAAATATTATAACACAACTTTGCACAAGTAAACTTGGCTTAGAAGTCTCACCTTGGGAAGTATATTAAATAGCATATGGACCAGGTCTGCAGCAGTTGGCTGGAACATATGGTCTTGGACTTTTGCCTGGTGATATAAGAGTTGTAGACAAGTTATTCTGATTCACCTAAAAACATTATATACAGTGTATGTATATACAGTGTATATATATTT